GGATTTTGGGCATGCACACACACATGCCCGGCATGTTTTTCAAACCACCAGGTCTGAGATTTGAACCACACAGTTGGCCATGTGGGAGTCCAGCCACCTTAACCACCACACCAGCAGCTGGCCCTAGAGTCATGGTTATTAAACTCTTAAACCTGCTCTGGGAGAGCGAGCTCCAGTGTGGGTTGAACTAATACCGCCTCCACATGCATCTCCTCTTTCCCCACCATGATTCCCGGCGACCACCTAGCTCGAGCACTCAAATTACTTTCCTCTGACTCGCCTCCCTCTGTTCCAGCCTTTCCCTCTCTCCCCACTCCCCACCCCCTCAGTTGTCAGTTTGGTGAGGCTGAGAGATGAAAAATTGGGTCAGCGTCGGATGGCATCGATTGCCTCTGCTCTCCCTCCTCTTCTGGCCTGGCTCTCTTCCCGGCCCACCCCCAACCTATTTTTAGCCTGCCTCTGTTTTCCTTAGTCTGGCTGGCAACCATGCTGGCCTCTTTCTCGTCATCGCCCTTATCTCTCCCCTGCAGCCTGTGCAGACCCCAGCTGCCCTTCCAGAGGTCTCTTACTGCCTGCCCGATAGATTTTGGTTTTCTTCCATTTTGAAGATATGTAGGATCTGCCTGAAAGGAGAGGCCTGGCCACGGTCAGGGAGAATGGAAGCTGTGAGGTCATTCTGGTTGGTCCGTTTTGGCAGTTCGTCCACATTACCGCAACACTCAAGTTGTCCTTCCAGCCTTTCTGCAATGGCTTGTGCTTCTCTCTGTGCCCATAGGCTACTCCCTACACCTCTCCCCTCCATAACCCCACTCGCCCCAACTAAGAGGTTCTCACTTCTTCCCCCTTGAGCAGTTGGGACCCATTTCCTTTGACTTTTAGGGGGTGGGAGGCATCCCTGGAGGTCCCTGCCCGCCTTCTTGGCCTGCACATTGCTCGTCTCTTCTTATCCAGTCCTGTCGCTCTCCAATCTTCGCTGGCCCCATCCCTCCCACCCGCACCCACCCTACCCCACTCAAGCCCCTGCCCTTCTAGTCTTGTTTCTAGGACACACAGGGCTCATTTGTACGGGACTTAGCCAGCTCAGGGACACATCCCCCACTCCCCCCCTCCCCCACTCAAGCCCCTGCCCTTCTAGTCTTGTTTCTAGGACACACAGGGCTCATTTGTACGGGACTTAGCCAGCTCAGGGACACATCCCCCACTCGTCCTCTCTCAGACATTGGTCCCCTCCTTCAGCTGTCACCAAACGCTGTATAAGGCTGGATGTTTTGGAAGGGAGGTGCAGCTGGGCGGGGGAGGAGGGTGGCAGTGCTAGGAGAGGCAGAGGGAAGTGCGGGCAGCCCCGGACCAGGAGGGCAAACCCTCACCGCCCTTTCTCCCCAAGCTTCAGAATGGTGGGATGGCATACTGGCCACTCAGTTCCTCACTTTTCTCTCCCCGTCACTGTGAGCTGCTTTACGGCTCATAACATGCTTTTCCACACACCCAGGTTCCGCATGGCTCACTCCTCAGACCCTCAGGTCTGCTCCAAGGCCCCCTCCTCAGCAGGCCCTACCCTGGCCACCCGTGAATCCTCCCCATCCCCATCTGCACCCCGCTCTGCTTCTGCTCCCAAGCCCTCGTTACCTTCTAATATATGATATAATTACTTGTGTGTCTTGTTTACATATCTTTTTCTTGTTGGGCTGTAAGCATTTATCTTTTCCTCATTGAACTGTAAGCGCTATAAGAACAAGAGTTCTTTTTATTGCGGTAGAATACACATACCACGGAATTTGCCATCCTCACCGTTTTAAGTGTATGGTTCCGTGGCACCAATGCACTCCCGGTGTCATGCAGCCAGTCTCCAGAACTCTGTTCATCTTGCAGATTTGAAGCTGTATACCCATAAACAAATCCCCATTTCCTCCTCCTCCCAGCCCTTGGCAACCACCATGGCCTTCTCTGTCTCTATGAATTTGACTACTGTAAGTGCCTCGCAGAAGTGGAATCATACGGTGTCTGTCTTTTCATGACTGGCTTCTTTCACTTAGCATAATGTCCTTGAGGTTCATCCATGTTTTAGAATATCAGAATTTCCTTCTTTTTTAAGGCTGAATAATATTCCATTTTTTGGCTCTTCATCTGGCCATGGATGCGTGGGTCTTCTCTCCCTCTCGCCCATAGTGAATAGTGCTGCTCTGTCCATGGTATGTATCTCTCTAAGACTCTGTTTTCAATACTTTTGGGTATATACCCAGAAGTAAAATTGGTGGATCATATGATAATTCTATTTTTAATTTAAATAAATTTTGGGGGTGGAACAGCAGTTGGCATAATAGCTATGTCACTGGACTCTCATGTAGTTGACCCTGGTTCAAGTCCCAGACCCGGTGGCTTAAACTCACACAGGGCATTTGTGCGTGCATGCCCAAGGTCCCGAGAGGAGAATGAAGGAGAAGGGATTGCGGCGTGGCCATCCTCCCTTGGGGGTGATTTCTCGCTTTCTGTCTCTCTGTCTATGTCTTTCTGGCAAGCTCACGCGCCCTATAGCCAAAAAACTCTACCAAAAAAAATAGTAAAATAAAATTAAAAAAATTTTTTTCATGAGAGCAAGAGACAGAAAAGATAAGAGAAAGACGAGAATCTCAACAGAGTCTCACACCGCGACTCCCCCAGCCTGCCCAGCCAGCCGGGATCATGAGCATGTGCAGACATGTACAGGTCAGCCGGGGAATTGAACTTTCCATCTTCCATATGGACCCAGCATCTCTTGAGCAGTGCATTATCACTGTGCACTGAGCCAACCCTATTTTTAATTTTTTCTGAAGTTAATTTTATCCATGATAGAGAGGATGTGTGCGTGAGTAAGAGAGAGAAGCACCCTCGATGGGTCCTGTTATTCCACAATTCCCTCTTCCCGGCCCTCCAGCTCGTCGAGATCTTGAGTACATACACATACATCCGGCATGTTTTCAGGCTGACGGAGGATCTGAACCCACAAAGTATCATGTGGATTCCAGCTTCCAGCTCTGCAGTTCAGTTTGCTGACAACTGTGCCCCATTTTTAATTTTTTGAGGAATCTTCATACTAAGTATTTGTGTATCGCATAAATGAATGGTCTTATTTGATCGTCACACACCCCTGTAGAGTTGGTTAGTATTGCTATTTGCATTTTACAGATATGATTATTCCTATTTTATAGAATGAGGTTCAGGAAATAATCCGAGATTGCCGATACAACACACTTGGCTTGGGGTGGAAGGATTGGCTGGCTTTTCTAATTCACTAGAGTTGCCAGTGCCAGCCATGAGCCCGGGCTTTAAGAACGCAGGCTGCTGAAGAGCATGGCCTCTGTGCTGGATTTCCTCTGGGAATGTATTTACGCTCATCCTCGTGCCCACTCTTCCTCCGCAGTGGCTCTTCCTAGCATCCAGCCCATCCAGTCCCAGTCTTTCTCTCCCTAGAGCAGCTCAGCTCCCGTTCCCTGTGGTTGCACTGACCTGATCTGGAGACCCTCCAGGTGGGTTTCATCTGAGAGTGCCCAGCCTTGCTTGAGGCCCTGTTTACGCCCCTCACCCCTCCACCCACCCCGGGGTAGTTATGAGCCTGTTTCCTTCCAAAGCAATTAGTGCAAGGAGGCCAGCCGCCTCGGTGCTAATGCCGTTTCATTAAGTGGGAGCAATCCTAATGATAATAAAATGGCACATTTAACATTCAAACATTGAACAGGGTTTCTACGCGAGTGTGTCTCTCTCTTTCTTTCTGGTATAACAGCTCCATCTTCATAAGGACCTGACAATACACCTTAATGAGAGACCAGGGAGCTGAGCAGCTTTAGAGTCAGAGAGAGGGTGAGGACCAAAGAACCCAGAGACAGAGGGTGCAGAGCGCTGAGGGGATAATGACTCTAAAGGTTCCCGGGGTGATGGGTCCTGCGTGTGGTGCTAATTTAGACAATTAGAGCCTGTAAGAAATAAGGTCACATGGAAAAGAAAACCCACCATAGACTTTAATGTAATAGTTATTTATTTGTTTGTTTGTTCAACACATTTTTTTTTTTAATTCCCAGAGGGCATGCACCCTTGCCAGAGAGCCAGAGAGAAACAGAAAGAGAGAAAGCACACCATCCAAAGGAGCGCCCATGCCACAATCCCTTCTCCTCTATTCCTTCCTCCTGTCAGGATTTTGGGTATGCCCACACATGCAGTTGGTATGTTTCTCAAGCCACCTAGGCCAGGACTCAAACTACAGTGGACCATGTGGGACACGGCTGCTTTAACCAGTAGGGTTTAGGACCAGCCCTGACAAATCTCTTTCTTTTCTTTTCTTTTCTTTTCTTTTCTTTTCTTTTCTTTCTTTCTTTCTTTCTTTGTTTCTTTCTTTTTCTTTCTTTTCTTTTTTTTTCTTTTCCAGTTTGCTACAGGGCATAGGTGTTCACCAGAGAGAGAGAAGGAAAGTGAGAAATCGCCTCCTCCCCCCGGACATGGCCATGCCACAATCCCTTCTCCATTCTCCTCTCAGCATTTTGGGCATGCATGTACATTGGTCTGGCATGTTTTTCAAGCCACCAGGATTTCAAGTCCAGGATTCAAACCGCACAGTGGGCTATGTGGGATCCAGCACCTTAACCTCCATACACCTGCTGGCACCCCAACAAATCTGTTTCAATGAACACTTATTGTGTAGCTAAGATGAGCCAGACTTTTTGGGTTTTTGCGAGGGAGGATGGCTCTCACATTAGGAAAAGGAACTCCAAGAGCAGTAGTGATCTATGAGAAATCAACTTTGTTTACCCCCCTCTGGGCAGACTTAGCCAAATCTGTGTCGAGATCATTAAATGACCCAGTGAAGAGAATTTTAACAACTGCTCTGGCCTCCCGAGCCAGCCCTTGCGCTCCCCGCTGGGTGAGACACATCGCCAAGGCCCTTTCCACTCTGTGGTTGCAGAATAGCTGACCAACCTTGTGGGAGGAGAGAGCCAGGGAAGAGGGTAGTCTCAGTCATCTGGAGTTTGTGGGGATTTACAGGTGGCCAGAGGTGACAGGATGACGTCCTGAGAAGCCATCCCCTCCCCACCCAGCAGAGGCTCCTGTGCACAGGAAGAGCTGCTGGTCTGGGGTCAAAGGTGGGCTTTGCCCAGGCCAGAGAAGCGGCTGATTCGAAAAGGTGTCAAGTCATAGGATGGCGTTACTTTCATGCTTAATTCACACAGGATTTTCCCCACAACTGGGGACAGCTTGAATCCGTGCCCTAGGAAAAGGAGAGCAGATTGTCAAGCATGCTCAGAAACCAAGAGACTGGATTCTAGAAGGTCCCTAGTCAGCCACACTGGGCTGACCCTCTTCTTGGTCACACTCCAAAGCCGGAAGTTGCCTCCTGGACCATCCAACCTTCTTGGACTACCCAGCCTCCTTCCATACTCAAAGCCCAGTTTTTAGTACCTATCCAAGCATGGGAAATGCTATTTTTTCTTGTATTGAGATAGGCCTTTTTTCCTTTGTTTTGTTGTTATTTGTTTTTAATTGCCAGGGGACATGTGCACTCACCAAAGAGAGAGAGAGAGAGGAAGAGAGCGGGAGAGAGAGAACATCTCCCAGGGAGGTGTAGTCATGCCACAATCCCTTTCCTTCATTTCTCCATCCCATCCGGATTTGGGGCATGCACACACATGTGCCCAGCATGTTTTACAAGCTGCTGAGGCCAAGACTTGAACTGTGGTCAGACTTGTGGGATCTGGCTCCAGATACATAGCACTTAACTACAGGGCTACAGGGCAGACCCAGTTATTTGTTCATTTATTTATTTTATGAGAGAAAGGTAATTTTGTCAAGGTCTTACCACAGCATGGTCCTCCTGCCCCAGCCTCCCAGGCAGTACAACCGCAGCTGTGCACCACCAAGCCTGACCTGTTTAGGTTGGGCCGGGAACTGAACCCAGGCCTCCCCTGCAGTGGCCTCAGCCACCACACCGCAGGGCCCTCCCCCTTGTGCTGTCACAGCTGGGCTGGTAGAACTGAACCCAGGCCTCCCCTGTGGTGGCCTCAGCCACGTGCTGTCACAGTTGGGCTGGTAGGCAGGTTTTAAGGTGTCCCATCTCCCTGTCCTCGGGCTTACCAGAGAATCCAGCACCAATGACAATGTTGTCATACATCGGGTGTCGATCGAGAACGAAGTGCCTATCAGGTGTGTTCTGTAAAGAAACAACCACAGCTGAGTCCTTTGAGGATAGCGGGAGGAGGAACGCAGGCTCTAACGGGAGGGGACCGAGCTGGATTTCTCTGCAGAAAGGACGGGATGGGGCCAGGCACGCGCTCTGCCTGCCATGCTCGAGGGGTGCCGGCCTCGCTCCTCCGTCCCTCTGCCTCTCTTCTCATACAGAGCTGTGGACACAGTGGGTGCACAGATCATCTTGGTAAACTAACTTTAGCCAAGACGCTGCAGGCCCTGGTGACATCTGTCTCTTCTCTTTGTCCCTAGGGCCTGCTCAACTGGAGCATCTTGCCAAAAAATCTTTTAGAGCTCTTCTGGGAATTAGAGTGAAGGACTGCCAGACATAAGCCTAGTTCCCTAATGAAAAAGAATATGCATAATCCCTAACTGGCCCCTCTCTGGTAGAGGTGGACTGACCCACAGAAATTAGCTCGTTTGTTTAAAGTCACAAACTCCGTCAAGGGACAGATAGAGACAGGCCTGGCCAGCACAAGATCTGTCTCCTCCCCCATCCCCGGAGCCCCGAGAGCGCCTGGCGAGGCTGCGCCGACCCCTCACCGTGTACATGCAGCACTCCATGACGCTGGGCTCAGGCTTCAGGTCAGGCAAGTGATCTCGGACAAAGCCACGCAGGATCCGGATGTCTTGGCTGTCTGAGCATGCTGTGGGGCCGTCCCGCTCCTCGGGGTCTGCGCTGTTGCCGTGGTGATAGCAGACCTGGCTCCCAATCAGAGCGGTGTGAGCGGCGGGGGCCAGGGGCAGGCTTGTACACAGAACGTCCCCATCCATCATTCCAGCCTTCCCCGACCCTGACAGATGCTGTGTTCCCACACAAGCTGGCCTAGCCGTCCACCCCTGCTCCCACCCTTGGTATGCAAAGGAAGGGCCTCCTTTGCTGGGCCTCAGGGCAGCCAAGGGTCTTGCACCGCTAAGAGAGAAGTAGGGAAGCAGGCACCTGCTGAGCCCACGGGCCTCTAAGGAGTCTGTGGAGGGGACAGGCAGGGCAGCTGCCCTAAATCTGCACATGCACTGATGGGCCCTCCCTCGGCCTTCCTGCTCACCTTCATCAGCCCTGGGTACTCTCCTGCAGGCAGCCCGTAGATGTGCTGGGGAGCCAGGTCCAGGCCCAGGAAGCATGGGAAGGCCTGAGACGCTCCATAGCTCCCTGCAACCTTCTCTTGCCAGTAATACACGTTGACCCGCAGGGTCTTCAGGCAGGAGGAAAAACAGACAGTAGGAGATGAAGGGAGAAAGCCATGGAACTCTACAATGAGAGCAGTTTCTTCTGGGATTCTGCAACTCTTTAATACAAGTTGGGATGCCAACTCAGCCATCCTTGCTTCACTCAATTCTTACGTCATTTACCTGTTACTTCCTGAAACAAAGACCTCTGAGCCTCTGCCTCTCCTCACATTCCTAGTTTTCCCCCAGAGCTGCGCTTCAGCTCTCCTTTCTCTATCCTCCCTGGCCTGAGCAAATAAATGCCAGGTATCTATTGAAACGCTTACTATATGCTCACCAGAGAGGTTTCTTTGCTATAGGGCATGTGTGCTCGCCAGAAAGACAGACAGGGAGACAGGGAGAAATCACCCCCCCCCCCGGGTGAATGGCCCCACTG